GGGGGGTGTATGTACACACTGTGTGTGTGTGTCCATATTTGTGTGTGTGTGTGTGTGTGTGTGTGTGTGTGTCCATGTGTGTATGTGTGTGTATGTTTGTGTGTCCATATGTGTGTGTGTGTGTGTGTATGTGTCCATATGTCTGTATGTGTCCATGTTTGTGTGTGTGTGTTTGCCTGTGTGTCCATACATTTCAATGACAGCAGGTGGGTGGGGAATTACCTAACTACAGACCACAAAAAGTTTCATCAGCCAGGTACATATATCATAATCATCATTATGATACAATATTTTCATATAATACATTGTCAGGTCGTGTATATAATACATACATTGTTAAGTCATAGGAAAATATTCAGATCGCATTAAAGGTGGCCAGATTTACTGATTTAATGTGTTAAAGGCTGTTAATCAAGTGAATCTAAAGAAAGTGAAAATAATAAAAACATTTGAAAAATCTGTTTCCAATCACTAAATTCTATGGGCTATGTTCCTCCCTACATCACATCAAATACTGCAATCTTTCATAAACATAACCTTACTGGTCCTGATAGTGTCAATATATAGTTTACGTGGAATTCCTCTATTGTCATAACAAACCTATAGAAAGCAGAGTCTGATATAAAATCTCTTAATAGAATGTTGTTGAATTTACGTTTTGTTCTAATCCTTGATACAAAACATTCTAATCTCATCCTACTAGTAGATTTTTGCCAAAATTTTTTAAAACTCTAGAGATCATAAGAATTTGACCAAGACTTGCCTTTTGTATTAATATTAAGTCATTCAGAAAAGAAATCAATACAATTTTCCATTACCATCTAACTTAAATTGTTCCATTGTTATCACTGACAACTGTATTATAGTAAAACTGGCCAAAAAAGTCAAATCAGAACAACAATTCTCACATCAAGACATTCAAATTTTAACCTATACAAGTGACCAACTCTACACAAGGAGCACCTGGCCATTGTGACTACCTTTTGCCGTGGCCCCTCTGGTAAATTTCCCCATTGACACAAGCCTTATTAAGGAATCCTGTCTATAGTGACCACCTGTCCACATAGATAATATGTTATCAGTCCCTGAGTGGTCTTTTTGGGCAGTTTTGACAGCATGTTATTCCAGAGAAACAGTACACAGTCAGTAGTCTCTCAAATAATAAAATACATTGTGCTCTACATAGTTGTACACGTGTCTCAGTTGATGACACTGTCGACAATCTCCTCCCTTTCTCCTGATCTTCTAGTCCGTATCCTTTCCTGTACAAAGATAAGACATACAGTACCAACTTGAAGTTAAAAAAGATATGTATGGCCTCCCTCTATCAGTATTCACCATGGTAACATCCTAATTCATATCAATATTTGGCTATGCCCAAGCAGTCTTGAATATACATGTATTATTTGAATTGACAAGTACCCTGGTATGTTTTGATAAATTTTTTTCTTAAACAAATATCAAGTACATTTAAATTTGTCTGCAGATCGCGTCAGATATAAAATGTTTCTATAGGAATATTACAAAGCAATCGTCATACGAATATTATAATACTTGACCTGAAATGTTTCTGATTCATACTTACAATGAGTTTGTTCCAGTTGTTGAGGCCAACAGCCTGGGAAAAGATTGAAAAATAAAGCAAAATAATTATGAGACAATCTTAATTTTGTACAATGTTTTAATACAATGTTTAAATTTAACAACATAATATTATGCAAAATTATGAAAACATAAATGACACAAATTAGCATTATTGCCAACAACTATATATGAAATCAAATATGACTTACCAGGTAGAATACAAATATCACATAGATGAGAACAGCTATTCCAACTAAAACATAGCCCCAGATTGGTAGAGCACCCTCCTAGAAAATGGGAAAATATTTCCAGATTACTGAAGAGAACATAGGTTGCTTAATGGCATAGTGAACAGCAAAATTTTCCAGGAGCACATGTAAGCTAATACATTTGTATTTCTAGCATTTTAAATGGATACGTGAAAAATGTAGTCTTTTACATTTGTTTCTGCAAAAATAAATTCCTGTAAGTATCAAATGTATCAACAGCTGACATTAAAATGTTTTTAAAACATTGGAGACAAACTTTTGAGATGATGTTCTTACCAAATAGGTGAATCCGAGGTAGAAGTTGACACCAATAATAACAGTGGCTAAACACCATACAAGTATCTTTGTAAACCTGCAATCAACACAAAATGTAAGCCTAGTATGTCAATGTAAAACCTTTGTGAGCACAGTGGTACAAAAGATAAAACATACTACTGTAACAGCATTTTGCACCAAGGCTGTGAACATTTGTTTCTGATTTGTCTGGTTGTGTAGTTCCATATTGTCTTGCCAGAGGATGTTGTAATACTAGTGCCATCATAACAGAGTTCTAACTTAAACGAGACTCTGGGTCATCAATATAATACTTTATATATAATAGATAAATCCCAAAGCCCCACCCACCTCTATCAAAACACAGGAATGCTAAATAAACACATAAAAATGCACATATTTCATGGGCATGTAACCACTCTCTCATTGGTCAAACTGCTACCTGCCATTCTCTTATTGGTTGAACTACTATTTGTAATGGACAGTCAGGATTGGTCAGTATCACACACACCTGCTGTTCTTGAATTCTCCCATGATGCTCTCACTGGAGGTGAAGTGCAGTATGGGAATGAGGGCGAAGGGCAGCTGGATGCTCATGAGAACATTGAGCCAGTTGTTCAACATGTCCAGATCACGGTGGGCGAACAGAGCGACCACGATGGTCGGACCCATGGCAATGGAACGCGTCAGAAGAACTCTCTTCCATTTAGCCCAGTGAATGTCCAGAAAACCCTTTAGTAGCATAAGAGATTACATTTAGCTAAATGAATGAGCAAAAAAAATCCCAGTTAGCCCAGTTAAGGACAAAAAAAAAACTAGCAGTAACATAGGAATAGACTGTAACATTCTATTTGAGTTAAATATCAGCTGAATTGAAACTGTAAAATGCTAAGCATGATCTTGGATCAACAGATGAAAAAACTATAATATCTCACCTCCATTACAAACTGTCCAGCATATGTACCCTGTGTGAAAATGATAAAAAGTGTTCAACATTTAACTAAATGTGTGAATTAGTTGAGTCAATTTCAAATGATTTTGAGACTTCAATCAAGTTCTTTAATCTTACACGGAAAGCATACATACAATACAGATTTTACAGAGATCTAGACACCTACCGTCATAGTTGAGCTCTGTCCTGCTGCCAGAATGCCTATTCCCCAGATAATCTTCATAGCCAGACCGTATTTCTCAAAGATCCATTTTCCCTGCAGACAGTCATAAACAAGTTTCCACAGATCAACCAATAAAAATTTCCTCTTAATTCAGTGCTATACAAAGAAACATATGTCTGCAACAGGACATACTGGGTCACACCCCTGTCAATCAGCTGAAACCAAATCTCTACCCACTCACTTCCAATCCTTGCTGCTGCTAAAGACAAGATACATACAAACTCCCCCTAACCCAGCACCACCCAAAACTATACTTCTGTCCCAGCAGTCAAAATGCAGACAAATTTGAGGACTTACTGCAGCACTAAGGCTGGGGTTCTGGTATTTACTGGTGTCGGAGAAGGCGTGGGCAAACGTAGCTGTCACAAATAGGTTGATCAGGAAGGACACAAACAAAGCAATGGCTGGAATAAACGGTAGAACACAAACATTAAAAGCATTCTTGTGTTGAAGCATTATTCAAACATTTCTTTTGGAACTGTTAAAAGATAGTGATTGACTCTGGAATAAGATGATATTGTTTGACAGTATGAAATGTAATTCTCACCTGACTCAACAGCATTGTACATGTTGGCTTCTTTGATCTTGTCTTTGTCTTTCCTGTCAATATCTCTGGACTGGGCAAAGGCATATCATTATGATAGTGATTAAAAGGCATTTACATTAGCAACAGAGATATCATACTATATACATGTACTAAGAACTGACAGAATAACATGAGGAAGGTATTATTGGATCCACCTCTAAGGCATTGCCAAAAAAATGTACCAGACTATTTCCTAAGTCAGATATGATAAAATTAAAAAGTCTTTACCAGGACTAGTGCAGAGTGCAGGTAGATGTTGTGAGGCATGATGATGGCACCAACAATCCCCACAGCTTGTTGAATAGCCTCTTTGTTACAGTTCTGGCACCATGGAAACCACATGCCCTGTAGGATCTGTCCCTGGTTGGGCTGGATGGTACAATACTGGGGGCACAGAAATAATGGCACATTAGCCTATTTTGCAATGGTCCCAGAAACTAACATTGAGGAACACCTAATTAATGTTCATTTCTGGGACCATTGCAAAAATAATATAATGGGGCGTGTAATTTTTGTGAGAGACTACAATCATACTTATTATTTATTTTAGACTGTTTACACAAATGAATTCATAATGCTGTCTTTCAGTAACTATTTGTTATAATTTGTATTCTATTTTGTCCCTTATTTCAAGAATAAAGTGACTGATGACCTACCATATAACCAAAGGAAAAGGCCATAATGGTGATGAGAGTGCAGAACAAACCCTCAAGTTTACGTAGACCTACAAAGAAAAAAATTACACTTAGCGTCAAGTTAGCGATCTTGTTTAAAAACTTTTAGAATTTGTAGTAAATTATGTTATTGGAATCAGTAAATCAACAATTTGAACTGTCTCTAAAGATAAGTACAGTTTTAGAAGAAGATTGAAGTAAGAATTTCTTACCATAATTTTCCAAGAAGAGAAATGTAAATGTGTCGGCTCCAGTTAGAATCACTCCTGCCCAGATTGGAATTCTGTGGAAAGGGGCAGCAAAAACATCATCCATGATCTAATCTGTGACAAATATTCTGATAAACTATCTTACTCAGTCAATCAAGTTAAACCCAATCTCCCCCCACTCACTTCCAATCGTAGCCGTTCAGGACAACATACATACAAACCAGTGCCGCCCAAAACAATATTTCTGGCCCAGAAGTAATATTGGGTTGCTAATTATTGCTTTACAGCAAGGGAGTGAGGTGTCCTTTCTGGTTTGTCTATAGTGTGCAATTGGGTGTATTTCTAAGATGTTCTGCCAGGGGGCGTTGTGACACATGGGAGTTTTACTTACTTGCCAGCAGACAGCAGGTTCATGGCGATGGCGGACCCCACCACCTCCTGGATGTCACTGCCGATGATGGCGATCTCCATCATGATCCACAGGGCCAGGCGCGGGCCGCGGGGGTACTTCTGTCGACACACCTGGGCCAGGTGCAGGCCTGCAATGGCAGGTGAAAACAGCTGAGGAATGTAGGTGTAAGACAGTAGGAATGTCCACTGTGTTGGTGTACATTTTCAAGACAATCTTGCTCAACAATGGATACTTACAAACATGTCTATTCGCATGAGTAGACTGTGAGGTGATATTATCTAAAAACATTTGTTTTGAAGTTTGTAATTATAACGTTACATGTTACCTACCAGTGACACATCCAAGTCTGGCAGCCAGAAGTTGCAGTATCAGTCCCATGACTGTGGACCACATCAATACCCATAGGAGCTGGGGAACAGACAAAACCAGCATTACCATTACTGTAAATTGAAAGTGCCGTTTTATAAATATTTAGTCCATTGTGTTACAAGTCCATCTTTTCCGTGCAAAAATTTGAGCACCACAAGTTTTACTGGTATGTAAGGAACATACTTTTTATAGTGTGAACTTAGTCAACTCATAATCTAAGACTATAAGATTGTACATGTACCTTGTATTTTGCTATAGCTCCTGCTGTCAGATCAGACTCGATATTTCCTGGGTCGAGGTAAGCGATGCTCATCAGCCAACCAGGGCCGGTGAAAGCCCAGAGCTTCCGAAAACTGAAACCCTAGTGTGGAAGACAAGATAACCAATTAATTTCCTGTAATTTTGTTTGAATAATTGGAGAATTAATGATGCAATATTGTCAATCATGTAGATAAAACACACACACAGGATTAGACGCTTGCAGGCCATTTTCAAGCTGTGTTAACATATGTACATAACATATGTACCTAAAGACAAAAATTTACTGTTTCATACCATGAATCATGATTACATGGTACCCATTCCTAGTCACCCCCTACCATATACTAGCACCCAGTGCAAGCCAGGTCACAACCCTGTCAATCAACCAAAACCCAATCTCCACCCACCCACTTCCAATCCTTGCTGCCCAGGACATGATACAAATTTATATACAAAAACCAACACCCTAAACAATACTTCCATCCCGATATTGAGATAATGAGTGACTTGAATACTTACTGAGCTTGATGTTGAGGGGATATGAACCTGCCCGGGAGCGATTTCAAAGTTGACCTGAGTCTCATTGTCTCTGCCGTCTTCCGACACATCGGGGAGACTGGAGTTGTGGTCAGCTCCAGCGGGAGAGTATACCTGTTCACTGTAGGACAGGTCATCATTGGGGACAAGTGGTCTTCTGTCATCTGCCATTGTCTTCTGTAGAACAAATACTGGACAGAAGGAAACAAAGAACATGTGTTAACCTGTACATGTTTATCTGTATATTGTATAGTACTGTTGGTATAACACAAGAGTTTTGCAGGCATATGATATATTACACAAAATGACTTGTTACACACATTCTTTGTGCTGCAGGAGTTCTTGAATGCTTTTCTAGTAATGATGCCCCAACTGTACTTTTTGGAAGCGATCAAGTTCCACTCTACAATTATAGTTCTTGGAAAATACTAGGTTTTGTATACCTCAATCCTGGAATAATTCTTAACTTGAGTGAATTTACCTGACTGCTGTTCTCCAACAGATCTGAAGAATGACTCGTTGTTTCTCTGATATATATCAGCTGATTTTAGAATTCTTTTCTCCTTATCCATGGCCACCAGTCCATGTACCAGGCAGTACCAGGTACTGCCTGGCTGAGCACAGAACCTGATGACTAATGATTAACTGTGTGTACCATGTTGTCCTTGTTACAACTAAACCCCATACCAGGCAGTGGTAATCGTCAATGCCACTATTATAATATTATGAATATAGTAGAGAATGAAGTATCTTTCATCAAAGAATCATAATATATAGTTTATGGCTGATTTTGGCTGAGAGCTAGGAAAATTGCTTTTGTGTTCCTGGTTTCAGTCCTGAAAAGTTACCTGAGTCAGTAGGTAGGGATTTATTATTTTCACGAACTTGAGTGAATGTGTTTTATCACAACAAAAAAACTTAAACGCTAATCGATTCTCAATACATGTTTTTCAAACATTGATACTAATAATAGCTGGGGTGTATGGGGTGTCAGATAGGGACAGTACCTCTGCAGGGGGGGCTTGCCATGCCCTTTAGGCAGTAATATTCGCCCATAGGGTAGCTCGTCCTGCTTCGGCTCTCATCTGATGCTCAGCTCTCACCTGTGGCTCCTAGAAGCTGTAGCATGCGCAGCGGCCACACCCCGGGCAACCGCTTTGGCAGGCGGGCTAAACCAGGTGAGGGTAGCCGGTTGGGTCGCAAACCCTCCGGTGAGTCTCTGTCTTGGGAGTGCCTATCCCAGCATGCGAAGACTGGACCCGGCAGAAAGTGCATTTAGGACGAATGTTGGCTAATGCTCAGGAAGGCGGGGACAGCACAGTGCTGTGGAGCGCTTTGAGCAGGGCAAGGCATTAAAAGCGTCCTGGTCATCCACTGCGCCCTTCTCACCCCCAGTCGTCTCGACACTTGTCCTGCCACTGGAATTGGTTGGGAACAGGGAAGAGAGAGTGAGGCTGACGACATTGCGCAACTCTCCCTCACTTTAATCCACTTCACGCGCAAGTCAAAGACATCACAGAACAAATCCCTAAAGCCCTGTGGCGAGGGGCAAATTGGCGAAGCAGCAGGTGAGGATACACTGGGAGCTGTAGCCACGAACCCCCACACAGGCGGCCCAGGACATGTGGTCGCTCTCTACTGGACCGAAGCAGCAGTGGAGTTCGGCAGCCTTCTGGGTGTCTGAGCAGCCCTTTTTAGGATCGCTCTGCTCACCTCCGTAGCCTGAGGAAGGGGCTAGAAAAGGTGCCCTAAAAATAGCCTGCTTCACCTCCCCCTGGCCTGTTCGCCGTGGCAGGAGGGGATCCCAACAAAGCGGTAAGCACTCAAGAAAGAAAACGTTGGTGAGACCACTCACCATTGGCACATGGAATGTGCGGACGCTCATGGACAGCGCCAAGGCAGAGAGACCCGAGAGACGAACAGCACTCGTCGCAAGGGAACTTGACAGGTACAATATTCAGATTGCAGCCCTGAGTGAAACTAGGTTTGCAAATGAAGGTCAACTGACAGAAGCTAACGCAGGTTATACCTTCTTCTGGAGTGGCCGCAGTAGTGAGGAGCGTCGTGAAGCTGGAGTGGGGTTTGCCATCAAGTCGAACCTGATCTCCAGGCTTACAAACCTCCCCAAAGGAGTGAATGACCGACTGATGACTCTCCGGCTGCCAATGAAAGGCAAGTGCCAGGCTACTTTCATCAGTGCATATGCCCCTACAATGACTAACCCCGAGGAAGTCAAAGACAAGTTCTATGAAGACCTCGAGGCCCTCATAATGGATGTACCAAAGGGAGATAAACTAGTTATCCTTGGCGATTTCAATGCCAGAGTTGGTACAGATTACCAGACTTGGGATGGAGTTCTCGGCAGAAACGGAATAGGCAAATGTAACAGCAATGGTCATCTTCTGCTGAAAACCTGTGCGACCCATGACCTTCTTATTACAAACACAATATTTCGCCAACCAAACCGCAACAAGACATCGTGGATGCATCCACGCAGCAAACACTGGCACCTCATAGATTACGTGATAGTCCGGAGAAGGGACAGGCAGGATGTCAGAGTAACAAAGTCTATGTGCGGTGCAGACTGCTGGACAGACCACAGGTTAATTCGCTCAAAGCTCAACATGCACATCAAGCCCAAGAGGCGCCCTCAAGGCAAACCAGCAAACAAAAGACTAAACACCAGACTGCTGGAAGATAGTTCTGTGAAAAACAATCTGAGAGATAACTTAGACAACAAGCTCAGGGACTTGAACTTCTGTTCAAACGGAGCAGAAGAAGACTGGACTGCTCTCAAAGAAGTTCTGTACAACACTGCACGTTCTCACCTTGGACTACAGACACGAAAGCATCAGGATTGGTTTGATGAAAACGATGAGGACATCCAGAAATTACTAGATGAAAAACATGCTGCTTACAGAGCATTTCAACAGGCAAACAGGTCGGATGCCAAGAAAGCAGTGTACAATGCCAGTAAAGCCAAAGTGCAGGCTAAGCTGAGGGAAATGCAGGATTCTTGGCTCAGTCACAAGGCGGACGAGATACAGATGTTTGCAGACAGTAACAACACAAAGCACTTCTATGATGCCCTGAAGGCCATCTACGGACCACAATCCACTGGTACATCTCCACTGCTCAGTGCCGATGGTACCACTTTGATCACCGACAAAGACAAGATCCTAGAAAGGTGGGCCGAGCACTTCTGCAACGTCCTAAACAGGCCCTCTGTCATGAATGATGAAGCCATAAATGACATGCCTCAAGTTCCGGTTAACATCACTCTGGATGAACTCCCGACAGAGCAGGAAGTCCAGCAAGCTATCCAGCTCCTCTCAAACGGTAAAGCACCAGGCTCTGACGCTATACCAGCAGAAGTCTACAAGGCTGGGGGAACAGTCCTGACTCAGAAGCTTACTGAGTTCTTTCAGTCTCTGTGGGAGAAGGAAGAAATTCCCCAGGAGTTCAAAGACGCCTCAATTGTTCATCTCTACAAAAGGAAGGGCAACAGGCAGTCTTGTGACAACCACAGGGGGATTTCCTTACTTGTCATAGCTGGCAAAATACTAGCCAGAGTTCTCTTAAACCGACTCATTCAGCACATGGACGAACACCTGCCTGAGAGTCAGTGCGGTTTCCGAGAGGGTCGAGGAACGGCTGACATGATATTCGCAGCACGTCAGCTCCAGGAGAAGTGTCAGGAACAGAACAGGGACTTATACACCACTTTTGTAGACCTGACAAAGGCCTTCGATACAGTTAACCGCAACGGACTCTGGAGAATCATGGGAAAGTTTGGCTGCCCTAGCAAATTCATCAACATGGTACGCCAATTTCACGATGGAATGCAGGCCAGAGTGCTGGATGCTGGCGACTCCTCAAGTGCCTTTGCAGTTACAAATGGAGTTAAGCAAGGGTGCGTGCTTGCACCGACGCTGTTCAGTATGATGTTCACTGCCATGTTGTCTAATGCCTTCCGCGAGGATGATGCCACAAGCATCAAAATCAGGTACCGTACTGACGGCAGACTCTTCAACTTGAGGAGACTTAAGGCCAAGACGAAGGTGAAGGTGACGTCTGTGCGTGACTTCCTGTTTGCAGACGACAGTGCGTTAAATGCTGCCTCAGAGGACTTGATGCAACAGAGTATGGATCGCTTTTCTTCTGCTGCTGACAACTTTGGTCTCACGATAAGCACTAAGAAAACAGAGGTCCTGTACCAACCTGCACCGCACAAGCCGTACGTGGATCCTGTCATTACTGTAAACGGGGAATCACTAAAGGCAGTTGCAAAATTCAAGTACCTTGGCAGCACACTCTCCAGGTCTGTAAACATAGACGATGAGGTTGACGCACGGGTCGCTCTGGCAAGCTCCTCCTTCGGACGTCTGCGAGCCTCAGTGTGGGAGAGGAGAGGCATTAGACTGAGCACGAAGTTAAAAGTGTACAGGGCAGTTGTACTGCCATCACTACTGTACGCCTGCGAAACATGGACGATCTACGCACGTCATGCCAGAAAGCTCAATCGCTTTCACATAAACTGCCTGAAAAGACTCATGAAGATCACTTGGCAAGACAAAGTCCCAGACACAGAGATCCTCCAGCGGGCCGATCTGCCAAGCATCCACACACTGCTGAGGAGAGCCCAAGTCAGATGGGCAGGCCACCTGGTAAGGATGCCTGACACACGGCTACCGAAGAGACTTCTGTACAGTGAACTGGTAGAAGGCAAGCGCTCAGTAGGAGGACAGAAAAAGCGCTTTAAGGACACACTGAAAACAACTCTTAAGAGTTTCGAGATAGATACATCTACCTGGGAATCAGCAGCCCAAAACCGTGCTGCCTGGCGCAGCCACATCAGCAGCGGTGCTATCCTCTACGAGGAAACTAGGATCGCTGAAGCCGTGAGGAAACGCGCTTCCAGAGCTGCCCCCACATCCCGGACTCCAGGAACCCACCTGTGCCCGACCTGTGGCAGAACCTTCAGAGCCCGTATAGGACTTGTGAGCCACAGCCGGACACACAAGACCTGATGTGATGTTCATTGGTCATCGTCGACTACGACGGACGAACAACACACACACAACACTAATAATAGCTAATAGGGCATCTAAAGTTAGATATCTTATCAGCTTTGACAAACAAATACAAAGTTTAAGGCTAGAGTTCGGTCTTGACACAATGACTGTTGACTGTTGCATGGAAGGACAGAAAATAAAAATAAAAACATAAAAACATGGAAAAAGAAGTAGTGAAAAGAAAATGGGAATATATACGCATGTACTGAGTGCCGAAATACATCTTCACGTATAACTGTTACATGTATGATGTAGATACATAATTTCTGACATTTTAAGACTGTGTGCATCATATGGGCTGTTTTAGTGCCAACTATGAACGCCAGAAACATGAGATAATTGCACAAATATGTTAAAGTGGAAGTAAAGTAAAAACACACGAATATTCTTTTACATAAAAATATTTCATTTTTGGTACAAAACTGCTGCGTAATGCCCCTTAGACCCTAAAACATCTGCCGGCACGTAGCTAGGACCGTAACCTTGAAACTAAAGTTACAGGCAAGTCATGACCACACCAATGATATTTTTCCCACTCATGTTCTTCCAGTTCTTTAATCATCCTTACTCACACTCACACTGTAACTAAGGACTACCCTATTACCTTAAGGAACGTAAAAACTCCAGTTTGACAGCTAGAGACCTACCTGTACCCGACCGGAAACATCACGTGCAACAGATGGTGTAATCAGGGCAGAGGTCAAGGGTCAGAGCATAGGTCAAGTGTTAAAGGTGAACTGTCCTCTCCCATCATCCTCCACTAGGCATGCGCAAAAGGTAACCATCAAATGTGCTGAAGACAAAATTAGGAAAGAACGGAATAGTTTCTTCGTTTTAAAACAAAAGGTACAAGTAGAAAAATGGTGAAAGAAGCAGTGAAGGAGAAGAAGGGAACCCCGCAGGATGTGGAGATGAAGGATGCAGACGCGGTGACGAACGGAGATGTGCCGGAGAAGGGAAAAAAAGAGACGGACCAACTCACACTGGAAGGTACGGTCTATATTGCAATATCATTGCGCCCCCCTCCCACCCTGGTAAACACGATTTGCCAAAATTTGTTCCTCATGATAGATTTGTAACGGCAAATTTATCAATAGTTCCTGGTTATGGTTAAGGGGTTTGAGGTAGAACATATCTCATACCTTGAATATGTAATTTTAAAATATGACTTGAAATTAAGTGTAAATTATTGTTACAAACACCACTAATTTCTTAAGGCGAATATACCATTATTAATTTATACCAAATCAGTTAACTTTACGTATGAAATATTACCTTACAACCTTGTTCCATGGTGAAGTTCCATGGACGAAATAGTTAATTTTTATGGATTTTGAAACAGAAAACCACCCAGTAACTGGAAGATAAAAAAAGTGCTGTGTTGTTTCATAATATTTTGACACAAGTCGTTTAGTATGACGAATACCTCTTCCAATCTTCCACAGATATCAGAGAGCAGGTGAAGTTGATAGAGAAGGGTGTGAATGGGAAGGAGCCCAGGTTCGTTTCCCGTGTCCTGTGGTCGTTTTCCGCCACCCGACGGCGCCTGAACCACAGCGTGCTGCGCCGACTTATCAACGCGTACTTCCCGAGTACCAACATGGCGGCCAAGGAGGCCCTGCAGCAGTACCTGGACGAGGTGTGTATATGTTTTTTTTTTTAGTAAGTCTGGCTCTAGTCTAGCAATGGCCAAAGGAGTAGAGTGTTTGCCAAGTGCATTCGGTAGGTTGTGAGTTTGATCCCCAGCCGAGTCATACCAAAGACTTTTAAACTGGTACACTCTGCTTAGCACTCAGCATTGGGGAAAGAGAATGGTAGTTAAATGTGGGGTTGTGTGGCGTAATGGCAGAGGGCATTAGGCTCAGAATCAAGATGTCCTGGGTTCGAATCCTGCCAAGTCACCAACCTTGCACCCTTCGGAAAGGCACTTAAAACAACTTTCCTCACTTCACTCAGGTGAAAATGAGTATGCCAAAATGATCATTATCATGACTGTGGGCATTAAAGGAAAACCAAACCAACCAAACCTAAGCACACATAAGTGATTGAGTTTAGCTCCGTATTCAAACACACACGAATTTTGCAGCCAGAATAAGACACAAAAATATGTACATAATGTGCTTGATTTTTCTCCCAGCCAATGGACACAGAGAGCCATGCCAGCACCCCGTCCAGTTCCGTGTCCACCCCCAGCACACGGCCGCGCAGCTCGCGCCCCCCTCCCACCTTCGTGGCTGAGGTGGAGGTGTACATCCAGCTGCTGGTCGTGGTGCATCTCATCGACACAAAACGTCTGGATGATGTAAGTCTGATGCACATGTTTGCAAAAAAACTGTAAATGCTGTAGTTACCTCTGGGGCTGAAGTATTGTTTTAGGGAAGCTTCTTTCATGGGGAGGACTGGAAGTGTTTTGTTTTGGGTTGAACTTGAAGTGACTGGTTTCAGTTGATTGACAGGGTTGTGACCCGGTATGCTCTGGGTGGTAGGATGTGGTATGATGTCACCAGAAACCAAGTTAAATGATACAATTGTAGGACAGTATTATCCAGTGATTTACCAACCTGATACACCTATTTAGTAAAAGTGAGAATGTTTGGTGTATTTTTTATTTTGTAGTGTGTTTTTACATACTTTTACATACTTTTTGTTTGTTCGTTTGTTTTTTGTAGGCATTGCAGTGCTCTGAGTCCCTGGTACAGAAGATCATCAGTCTGAACAGAAGGTCCATGGATGCCCTGGCAGCCAAGTGTCTGTTCTACCATGCCAGAGTGTACGAACTCATGGGACAACTCAGCCAAGTTAGAAGGTACTAACGTTTATGTACATTATTTGCTCTATAGGGAAATGTGCATAGATGAATCTGGAATAATTGAGAAAATTCATATTGTTGTCATTTGTATATTCCTAATGTAGGACTCAAAATACCCATCTGCAATTTATAGGAAAATTTTAGAGGTGATGTACTGTGTAATCATGGTAGAAAACCTAAATCTTGATGTAATATTAAAGTAATACAGAAGTAAGATATGTCATATAATTGTATGAGTATTAGTCCATTCTATGATGTAATTCAATCTGGTATTATCCCATGGTGGTACAATACAGATCCAATACATTTACCAACACTTACAAAGCTTTCCCTGAGGTCTGAAATCTCTGAATGTTTTTCCCGTGCTACAGTTTCCTGAACTCCCGCCTGCGTACATCTACGATCCATGTGGACAGCCACTCGCAGGCCATGTTACTGAACCTCCTCCTGCGCAACTACCTACATTACAACCTGTACGACCAGGCAGCCAAACTGGTCAGCAAGAGTACCTTTCCTGAAACTGCCAACAACAACGAGTGGGCTCGCTTCTTGTACTATATAGGTAAGGAGACTCCACTTAATAGAAAATCTTAGTTGAACAAAGAATGTCAAAATCCAAAACCGCTTGCCATTAACACCATTGTAAATAAACATCGGCTTCATGCAAAGTTTCTGGCGAAATCACAACATAAATTGAGTGCAAAATATGACAGAAAAACTAGTAGATGCGACAAGAATGAAGTAGCTGTCTGCTAAGAATTGTCCAACAATGACATACAAAGTTGGACATGATAGTTGTTGTATACCCTGTGATGTACATACATGTATATTCAAATCGGTTGTGTGTGTTTCTGACAGGTCGTATCAAGGCCATCCAGCTGGAGTATTCAGCAGCCCACGGTCACCTGACAGAAGCCCTGAGGAAGGCTCCCACCTCTGCCGCTGTGGGCTTCAAACAGACAGTTAGTACTGCAAACTCTCTCTCTGGGCTCTGATCAAGTTAGGGGAGACGAGTTCAAAAGTCTCCATTGTTTTTGTTTTTTTTTGTTACCGAATGATTTTGATGTGAAAGTGGTGTACAACACATGTATTGGATCTTTGAATGTTTTGTTAAAACGTTTTTCAACGTGTCAATGTGCTTTGTTTTCAGGTGAGCAAACTTGCCATCACAGTGGAGTTGTTACTGGGTGAGATCCCAGAGCGCTCACAGTTCATCTCTCCTGCCATGAAGAGATCACTTGCACCATATTTCCAACTCACACAAGGTGAGGGGAATGAATTTTTTTTTAAACTACAATGTACAGCATCCTATGATGTCAAGGTTCATTGTACAATGTACAATAAGCTATGGGACTACCTTACCTACCTACAAATAAATTGTGAACTGTATTCTGTTCCCCTAGCCGTGCGTACTGGTAACCTGGCCAAGTTTAACGAAGTGTTGGAGAAGTATGGGGACAGGTTCCAGGCAGACAACACATGGACACTGATCATCAGGCTCAGACATAACGTCATCAAGACAGGTTGGTTCTAATAATAATGGTTTCTAATATTACAGCGTTACTGCTAGCTTGTTAAAGGTTCAACTCATACAATGCATGTTTGTTAAAAGTAGCATTGCCACCCCCATGCAGACCCTAAACATGCACATTTCCCGATAAGTATTTCACTTCAATTCAGCAAGAATATTTTTAGCACAAATGCTGGGATAAGACAGCCAGTCGTTAAAAAACACCGAAGAACGCATAAGAGAAATTTTACTGTGGTGTGTGCCGGGTGTGTGTCCTTTGACAACTCACCTTCGTATTTCTGCAGGTGTACGAATGATCAGCCTCTCGTACTCGCGCATTTCGTTGGCGGACATCGCTCAGAAGCTTCAGCTGGATAGTCCTGAGGACGCAGAGTTCATCGTTGCTAAGGTAAATTGATTCAGCTTGCAGATGTAGGCCACAAGGAATGTGCACTGTGTAATCATAGTTTAAAACATAAACAATGTCATACATATTATGTAATTCAATTGGGTTGGTTGACAATACAGTTCTAATACATTCACAAAAGCCAAAACACTTACCAAGGCTCTGAACTTCCTGATTTCTTGTTGTCTTTGCATGTAGCTTGCAATTCCAATTGCAACTCTTGATTGCCCTGTATCTATAATGTAGGCCATAAGAGATGGTGTGATCGAGGCCACCATTGACCATGAGAAGGGGTACGTGCAGTCCAAGGAGAACACTGACATCTACAGCACACGGGAGCCACAGCTGGCCTTCCACCAGCGCATCAGCTTCTGTCTGGACATTCACAACCAGTCTGTAAAGGTGGGGACTTTTTGGGACATGCTTTGTTTGCGTGTGTGTATCTGTGTGTCCGTGTATGTGTGTGTCTATGTGAAAGCTTGAGTGTGTGTGAGTGTGTGTGTGCATGTATGTATGTGTAAGAGATTATGTACTTACATGTGTGTGTGCGTGCGTGAGAGAGAGTGTATCAGTCTCTGAGCAACATTTCATTTAAACATTTTTCACAAATGTCCTGTACTATTTTTCAGGCCATGCGCTTCCCACCAAAATCTTACAGCAAAGATTTGGAGTCTGCCGAGGTGAGTACAAGTACAGTATAGATAGCAACAATTTCTGTATCTCCAATTTTCAGACTCAATGTATAAAAAGATGTGATGCAAACTGTTAAATGTAAACTTAATGGCAAAATCAACTTCATCTCATTTTTACAGGAACAGAGAGAGCGGGAACGTCAGGATCTTGAACTAGCCAAGGAGATAGCCGACGACGAAGACGATTTCTAGGGAAAAAAACATAACAAAGTTGTACATACGCCTGAGCTTAGTCAGTGGAAAATTATAGCAATAGTCCTCAGTCAAGGTTTATAAATTCAACAGCTACATTCGCTATGTCTTTTGAATTAACAAAGGTATCAATGTTTTGCACTATCCTGGATTTGTCCCTCGGTTCGACAGGAAATTTTGTCTACCATAAACGCTTTAAAATTTGCTCAGCAGTCACAAAGACATACATGTATACATTCTTTGCTTACAATGGTAGGTAGGTGTAACTTGACTCAAGTGATAGTTGCTTGCCTTTGAGTTAAACGTGTAACATGTATAACACTTGAAAACAAAGGAAGTATGAATATTAAAGAATATACATCCAGAATTGCATCTGCTGTCTTATTTCTTCCAGGATGGAACATTTGTTTTCTTGTAGAAGTACTAGTACATAGTAATAATAAAAAAAGACGGCAAAACATTTACTTTTTTAGTTTTCCTTGAGTATTGTTACATGTATCCAGTTGAAATGTCATAAAACAAAGATTAACTTTATTCTCACAGTTAACATAATTTTCTTGGCGATACATAATTAAATTTTCTTTGGTGATGGATGCTCTTTGTCTTCGTTAAAATTGATACAAAAAAAGTACTAATGTCTATGCCATCCAATGTTTACGAGCCATTAACAATCATATTGCAGCAATCATCATTTGGAAAACTGACTACATACAAAATGGTTACAAAATCATCACATATTCTGATTAAGGCATTAAAATGTGAACACATATACTACATAAATGTACAATAACTTGGTGAAAAATACACTGTTCAACATAAAATCTCAAAGTGATTTAGCTATAGTCAGGCTAGGTGAAAAACTGTAGAAAAAAAATGTCTTCGGTACCATGGATTGGAAGTACAACGAAACTGAATCTTTAACATTGGATTCTGCAGAAATGTATAGCCAATCTTGACTGAGTGGATTAGGGATTTTAGAAATTTACATGTCAATTGCCTCTGCCCAGAATTTAATACTGCTAGATACGTATTACACATACTTAAAACATAATATGTACAGTGATTTCATACCCTTTTACTCCGGGGCAATCAAATATCTACAATCAGTGTAAAATAATAATAAAGATATTGGAATACTTCACAATACCTACTTCACATTACATCATTTGAATAATTATTTCAGGTGATACAAAAGATTGACAGAGGATCAAGTTGGAAAGGTAACAAGTGCAACCTAGTGCATATACAGTAAGGCCATCCTCACTAGATACATGTAGCTTCAAACCAAGGTGGGGTGTGACAGGCCAAGTTATATTTGAAGATACACAATACAACACTAGGTTTCTATTGGCACATATCACATCACAACTTAGCATAATGTGTAATATACTAGTAGATTATAAAATAATGATGACATTGCCAGTAAAATGGCCTTTCTCACATCTTTAGACCAACTCTTAAGAACACCAGAACTTAGGTAAACCTAAAATAAAACGTAGGATTTCTATCCTGCCATTTTCTTTTCTGTCACCTCTAGTTGTACCAAACAACTTTGGTATTACACTGGTTGTCAACCATTAACATAACAAGAAAAGGCTTCAGGCACGGATATGAAGTTTTGTAAAAATTAGACATACCAGTCATTAATACAACATTAATTGTGTTCATAATATATAAAACAGTTTAGAGCATCGCGTCCATAGTATATGAAATAAATTGGAAATAGATGATGGGAATACCGGGGTACAAGGTTGAAATACAAGAATGATTACTAGTACCTCTACAGTCCCTTCATATCATAGAGTACAACAGTAATACTTTCTGCAAGACTTTTATGATACATAATTATCTTGTCATACTGAAAGATTTAGATTTACTCAATACCTTGTCTTTCAGGTTAATATAATCTGGTCAATCACAAATACTACATGTAGTACTTTACAATACTGCATTATCAATGGTTCATTGCTTTTGTCCTTCTGGTATAAAAGTTTAGACACTACAATTGAGACATCGAACCTGCAAAACGCTGTGCAATGTTTAAGTTCTCTTTCTCTGTTTACACAAACCTTGCACAATTTTATGGCCTTTATATAGGTAATACAAATGAATCAAACAACAGGATGACTAGTCTGAAGAGTAAGACATTTCAGATAGAATCTGCAATCTATCATCAGAGTATTCTGATGAAAAATAGAGGATGCTATCTAAAATGTCCTACTCTTCAAAAAAGTTGCTTGATTTCTTTTGCATTGCATGTACGTAAAATGTACATGTACTGTTCTACCCAGATGTCTAACCATCATGGACATACTCTTATGGTCTGTTCTATATTGCTTTTTATAAATGTCACGTCTCTTGCTTTATGAGTTTCCGAAGAGTGGGCCCCTCTCGTGTTTTGGCGTGATCGCTCTCATCCTGCTCAGAGCTCGCTCTGCCGTTAGACGCCATCTCCTCAGACTGAAGATGCTCTTGTGCTAATCTTAAGCCTGGAAAGAACAATTTTTATTCATCATATAATTATAAAGCACCCTACATAGTACATAAGATATATTCTAACACTTCTAAAAAATAAAACTCTAATACCTGTAGCTAGGATACCAAAACCTTTAAATATAGTATCTCACAACTATCCTGGATGGTGTGTATCAGGAAGGACATTAGAGTGTGCAGCCTTGCCAGTGTGGACAGAGTTGATAGCAAACATGGTGTGAAGAGTTGACTGCAGCCCACCCGTCTCAGGGACCCCTGCAACAGTATAATCAAAGACTGGATACTACTACATGTACTGTACACTACTACTACTACAGTACTACCACTACCTAACTTACTAACCTTCTTCCATGAGTGTTTCCTGTACAAGTCTCTTAGTTGGAAGAGCACTTTTCCTGGGTGTCCTGGTGTGTGTGTGTGAGACTTCAGGCAGGTCCCTGGATGGGGAGGACCCACGACTGGACAGTAGAGAGGAGTCTGCTCCTGAGAGAAAAGATACACTATCAATGTCTGATCCCCAAATCATTTCTGACAATTTTATGTCTTTATAAAGCAAAGAAATCTGTTCACTACTGTGGACAGAGACCACATTCCTACCTGTGACACAGGTGTCGTCTTCATCTGGAGGTTCCTGTTTGATGCTGATGTCTGTGCCATCGTCAGCTGACTCCTGTTTCATGTCACTACTGTCCTCATCTCCGTTCTGTTCCTGCATGCGGGCTTTTGTTCTGTAGTACCTGTAGGGTCAGGCAAGGTCAGGCTATCTCATAACATGGCTAAGCTTTATGTCTATGAGAATCTATCTGACATTTATGACTACAAAATATTATCAATAACAGTAATAAGAGTAAAGTATAAGGTAAGATTACCAGTATATATATTAAGAGTAGGATGTATGGATGATTAATTTTGGTCTTTAACTAGGACGAACTACAACTTACTTGTCAGATCTCTTCTGTTGTCTGATTAGATCAGCTTGTTCTGTCATGAGAGCCAGCTGCTCATTGGTCAGCTGCTCAAGTTCCATCTGAAGGGGGAGGTGGGTTAGTCATCATTAGTCATCTAACACAGGAAAACTATAAGATAAAATTCACCTTGCAGGTTTCCAGTGTCATGAATTGATTGTCTTAGGTACAACGTACCATACAAGTGTCAAGCTTAAAGTTTCCCAGATGATTGGGCAAGATGCACAATTGTTGCTTTGGTTTATGGTAGAATGAATGGTGTTACCTAGCTCTGAGAAACTGGTATTTCCTGGGATTTTTGATACTTGTTACTTTATAGAGACATCAACAGTAAGTGTTTGTACCTGTAGGTCAGCCACACAAGGATAGTCCTCCGAGTCCTTGGCATTCTGTATCCTCTCCTTACAAACTTCCAACTTGTCTCGCTTGTCCTTAAGTGTCTCCGAGATCTCTGTCATTCTTTCCTGAGGAAGCAAAAGGAACAAGAAATTGGAGCTTTCAGATTTCCAAAGTTCCATCTTTTTTTATTGTTTGTAAATGTATTGGGACCGTATTGTATGATTATGGAGAAATACCCGATTGAATTACATAAGTGCGTAATAACATGTCATAAGATTATATGACATAACTCGATCCACATTTTACACATCAATGTCCTCCCACCAATTAGGACATTCCAGATCACATCCCTGTCAACCAACTGAAACCCAGTATTTGCCCACTCAATTCCAATCATCGTTCCTCAGGACAAGATATATACAAACTTCTTAAGCCAGTGCCACCCAAATTTGAAAACAAAACTTCAAATTTTCAGACGAAGTACCTGTCTCTTAATTTTGGAGAGTTCTGCCTGTACTGTGCGCGTGTGTTCGTTGTCAGCTTTGACATTTGACCCCTCTGGTTCCAGCTTGACCTTCTTGCATGGCGGCTGTGACGTCCCCGTCGAGTCAGCTTGTCGGGAAACCTCCTTAGCCCTGGAATAGCATTCAACATCTTTGGATGCAGAACTTGAAGCTCTTAATGCAAGAAAGGAAAGAATGGGACATAGTGAGAAAATCAGGCTGTCAGTGTGAAGAGAAAAACAAAAGAAAAAGGCTGTTACTGGAGTGGAGAACAAAGAATATAAAAGCAAAAGAAACCTAACTCACCTTCATGTACAATGTAAGAATAGATATTGAAATACAATAGAAGAATGAAAAATAAAGCCTTCAGAAAAGAAAATGTTAACTTTTCTATATTGAGACCACAATTTAGAAAGGTACAGTGAAGAACATCTTTCAATAAATTCCAACTGGTTTTTCTTGGCGAGCAATTTAGAGAGACCTACCGAGACTTTCCATGCTTGAACTTGTAGCCACTTTCTCGTACGACCTGCCGAGCCAATGGGAAGAGCTCCTCCCTTCGACACAGCAACATGCGGTCATACATGCACAGGGCAAAGGCTGCCTCGTTCACCATGATCTGTAAACAACATCCTGTTTGTTTTATCACATAAAACACAAACATATTTGTATGATGTAAAATTATACTAGAACCCTTTGGCATATTTTGACTTACATAATCAGAATATGCAAATCTTGAGCTAATCAAAAGACTCTCTTCCTGTACTTCATAAAAACTGTGAGCTTCCCTACAGATGCCCTCTAGCATTTTAACAATGAAGTGCGGGTTGCAATGTTGAATACATGCTCCTCCAAGGAGGTTAGTTGTTAGACTTAGAGGCCTACTTAGTACGGGATTCGAACAATGTTACATTATAATTGCATTGCATATGTAATCATCTAGGATAGATTAGTCTTGTACATGTCTTACTGTTGAATAGTTACTGCCATACATTGTACCTTGCAATGTTATGATTGCCAACAAGTTTATTCATTGTACATCCCACACTGCCATATTGTGCAGATGCCAGATGTAAAAGAACGAAATGGCTGATCCACACAGCTCTGTCCCTCCCCTGAGAAGACAAGTCAACCCATCCCCCCCATACTAGATCCAAGATGGATTGCCCTTTTGGCCCTACTTGAAGGCTGTTGCTAGGTGCCCTGGGTAGGAGATCAGAGGTGGGACTCTTTTTGAAGGCTGTTGTCAGGTGCCCCGGGGAGGAGAGCAAAGGTGGAATGTCCCATAAGGCCTTGCTTCACACTTTGAAGCAGCCAGGCTGACAACTGAAGTCTCTAGTCCCTTTGGTGGGATATCTGCATCCCTCCTGGGTACATTAGTGGTTTGTATCAAGGGATGAGCCATTTATAACTGAAGAGGAAAACTGAGCTGGGGAAAATGCCGTGGTGCATAACAGCTAATGCAGAATTTTGCTTCAAGGATGCATGGTTGTCTCCAGGGCTTCCAGGACTCTATCCTGGGACACAAATTTGCTTGTTGGGACGGACAATGATTTCAGCCTGTCCATCCTGAAAATCTGAACTTCATCAAGTTCATGACATAAAAAGAATTTTCTTGAATTTTAAATGCATACACCATCACTGGACAGAATAGCAAATGTCTACTACCTGTTAGTCATTAAGACACCAATGACACAACTGATGTCGGCTAAAATTAAGAATGCAACAAAACTGACAACTCTCTGATCTGAAGACAGTTTTGCATCAATAAAGAGCACAGGACTGCCATAGGGAATATGTGCTTTAAAAACCTTTTCCCTGCTGAGGTACCCCCACGACTCTAAATTTGCATCAAATTTGATCAAAGGCAGCAGGGAGATAGTTTAAAAAAGCACCTCGCAGTCCTTTGTGATAAATCCTTGATGTACCGGGGTGCCTTCGGGACAACTCTCCAGAGCTACGTTGACGTCAAATGGAAAGATTTTACAGGAAAAGAGACAACATATTCTTGGCAACTGGTCAGTTTAGGGGCACTGGGACAACTAGAGCTCAAAAACTGCATACTAGTGAGATCTGCTATCATCCATCACACCTATTCAGTGTCTTGGTATCAGAAATACATGTATCATCAAATTCAAGAGAAGAGCAGTGAACCTGTTACCACACAAGGAGGCAACCACACAACCAACCACACAACCACAAAACCAACCAACAACACAACCAACCAACGAGGTACAAGTACTAGTAACCACGTAACCAACCATTTAATCAACCAACCAACCACAGCAACAACCCCATAACTAACCAACCATATATTTAACCACACAACTAACTAACCTGCCAACCGACAACATCACAGCAGTCCTACACTTACCTCATGTAATGTCAGGAGTTTTTCAGACTTCCGTTTGGAGTCAAACCGTCCATAGATGGCACTCCACTTCCGCACCTCCTCCTCTAACATGGGGTCTTCCTCGGACATCTCGATCACATTCCTCAGCTGCTTCTCCAGTTTCTTTGGCAACGATTTCGGGAGCTCCTCTCCGTCCTTTCGCGTCGTCAGTACGATGGCGTACGCCACCTCCTTGATGGCGGCGGCGGTGCCGGGTTCGAGGATGGACGACTCGTACATGTTCAGGACAGGAGAGTTGTTGGAGCTCCGCCCCACACTGGACGGTGACATGGACCGCTGTGGGGGGGTGGTGGAGGTAGGGGGCAAGGAGAGGCTGTTGTTGCCAGGCGACGGGGGCGATGGCTGCATCCCTAACGGTCCGTCTCGTACAGACGACTGCGACCATGACGACGACATGGGCGACACCTGCTGCGCCTGCGCCTGTTGATTAGCCAGCCCCAGCGATACGCCCGGAGGGATCGGGATCTGGTGGGGCGAGGTCGGAATGACGTCCTGGAACAAAGCGGGCGTAGTGACCCACTCCTGGAGGGATTTCTGGAGTCTGCGGACGTGCAGGGGTTTACTGGCCATCCCCACCAGCGACATGATCTCCAGAAACTCCTCCTCCCCGGCCTCGCAGAGCTGCTGGACGTCGTCCCCACCCTGCGAGATGAAGACGTCGAAATACTGCAGCAGGTTCCCGCGCTGCAGCACGCGGTACAGCTGCAGCTCGCCCAGGTTCGCCGGCTTGTGATTGGGAACGGTTGCCATGGTTATGCTGTTCCCATCCATACATACAGCCTGGTCAGATAAAAATAAATTACATAATTTTAGGAAGGTGCATTTTGGGATTGATTCATATCCTGAATAGATGAAAGATGAAGCCAGGTAATTTGAGAACCAAGAAATTTCATTGGTTTGGCCACACACAGACTAGGACTGTATATGATTACAATAGGTAGATAATCTCCATAACATATGTTACAAAGCCTGTTTAGGCCGGACAAATAGGATTTGATCATGTTGATTTACATAAGATAAACATCTAAATACAATACCATCATCCTAAGACTGGAAAAAATCTTCCCTGTCTCAAACATTCTACAAATAACACAAACAAAAGCCAGTCAACACAAAAAATGTAGGTATGAATTTGACTACATTTATTCCAATGTCTAAATCATGGCTACCTGCGCCTTCGAAGTTTAATGATCAACAAGTGCATCTATGCGACATAACTGTTACACGTTTTATCGATGCAGAACTATTACTGCTTATAATACAGCTAGAATGACTTTGTGCATGATGACTAGAGCTTGTGATATGAAACAAGAACTAGAAAATGGAGATCGCATGTTGTTTTTATTTTATACTGGACCGCCCTGTAAAAATAAGGACCACATGTTACACCTCTGTCCGTTACTTCCGGGTTCTGCCACCCCGATTTAAAAATCCCTCCAAAACATTGCAAACATGTGAACGGTCTAGAAGCACACTCGTTTGGGTAAGACAAGAAGAATCGAGACTAGAAACGGTTGAGAAAAGCCTGTTTTTGGCCCCCATTTTGCTTTGAGCAGGGCGGCGCCATTCATATGCGAATCCTTCAGTCCCCAGTTGCGTGCATCCCCCGCCCGCCGTAGGCGTTTTCGCGTTAGTCGGGGGCGCATGGACCCAGCCCGGGCCAACATCGGCTTCAGCCTACGGTATATCCAAGTAAACTAGCATATCGCTGCTTAACGTGGGTATAAATTGGAAAGGAAAGCGGTAGAAAACCCGTCCGAGGCCGATAGGGCCCAGGCTTACCGTGCGGTGGTCACGTCACGTACTCTGACCCCCAAGGGCTGGTCTTTGTCGGCTGTGTGGGCCAGATGGTGCGGCCGACACCGATAAGGTTTTCTCCGGCCAAACCCGTGTTTTTGTGCCGCGCAATTCAGCAGGTGGATCGCGGTAAACGTCGGTGGCGTCCTCTGCCTAGAATTGGCGAGAAATCCAGGAGAAACGGGAGGAAAGGGAAGGAAAATGGCCCTGGTGAAGACAACTGTTCCCCTCCCCTGTGATTTCCCCCCGGCTGCAGTGGTGCGATTGGGTGGGGGGCGGTAATCGTGTTTGTCTCATGCCCATATATGGGCGGCTGCTGGGTGTGCACGTGTGGCGGTGGGGTCAGCCTCCCCACCCCTGATTGGTCCCCACGTCCCCACGTGGACACCCAGCCGTCAGGGGGACATTCGCCCTGACGTCACGGCAAGCCCCGGAGGGGGTGTGGGAGGCAGCCCGGCAACACACCACACGGAAACCGCGTACCCGCCAACACAAAATCTGCCTACCTGTTAGAGATAGGTAAATAATGACCACCGAATCTCACAGAATCGGCGATCTTTACTTCTGTCAAGGTCAACCCCCCGTCTGGGGGGACCCAGCAGTGACGTCACTGCCCCTGAGGGGGTGTGTGAGAGACCGGGTGGGGTCCAACACAACAAACCTTGGGTCCTCCAGCTTCGTGTTATGACTTCGCCATTCGCAGGGGAAGCGTCTGCGGTTTCTATGGTTACCGCTTCTCGTAACCATGGCAACAAATGAACTTTGCCTGTTATCACCTACGACGTTGTGATGATGGATCCGAAAATATTTGAGGTTGAAGGCAGGAGGTTTTGGCTGTCACCCCCGCGTTTCTTGTAGGCAATGGACGCTGCCCATTGGAGGGGGCAATGCACAATACACATTACCCACGTCTCCCGGCTGATTAGGGGAGCGGAGCTTCATGGGAAGTGGGCTGGGGCAAATCATCTGCCTGTTCGCCGTATTCAACTTCGAGTCATGTCTAAACCTCTCCTCTGGTGCACTACTAAAGGAACAGGGAACCGTGGCGAAAAACGATCTAAAATAGTGTCAAATTAAATTCACAACGGACAACTGTTAGATCTCTAAGTCCATGACAATTTCGATTTTACACATCTGAATTTAAGACTCTGAGTTGATATGTTCGATATTTCAACGGCGCTGGGAGTGTTACCCGCCCGCCCGGCACATTAACGCACGTCGGGGCATTTTTACGGGGTCGGTTTCGATAATTTTAGCACGGCATTGAGCAGAAAGGCCGACTAGAAAGATAGGCTGCCAGGAAAAGACATATTCTTTTGTAAACGCGTGTACTGTAAACGCGTGTACTATAAACGCGTGTGCTGTAAACGCGTGTGCCGTAAACGCGTGTATTGTAAACGCGTACTGTAAACGCGTGTGCTGTAAACGCGTGTGCCGTAAACGCGTGTATTGTAAACGCGTGTACTGTAAACGCGTGTACTGTAAACGCGTGTACTGTACATATAGGCTACCAGAAAAGCCCTATTCCTTCAAAGGAATTGGTTTTGTAGCAAACATTACTAAGCCCGATTTCCCTGGTTTAAGACTGCGAGCAAAGTACAACAGCCACCGGAGCGGGGGACGCTACGGGACTTTTGCGCGGGCGAAGTCCGCCGCTGGTCCCGAGGACATAGCTCCTCCAACGCGGTGACTTTTTCGCCGTGAATTTTATGAAATTTATTTCCTAAAGTCAGTGCCACTTGCACAGAATATGTTGGTCTTGACTATTTCAGTAGTCTGGCGTCTGTTTTATCGAGTATTAAAAGGAGATGCCTTGGTTTTAGCCTGGTAATCATGCCACGGGAGCTCCCTGGCATCTCAACGGCGCTGGGAGTGTTACCCGCCCGCCCGGCACATTAACGCACGTCGGGGCATTTTTACGGGGTCGGTTTCGATAATTTTAGCACGGCATTGAGCAGAAAGGCCGACTAGAAAGATAGGCTGCCAGGAAAAGACATATTCTTTTGTAAACGCGTGTACTGTAAACGCGTGTGCTGTAAACGCGTGTGCCGTAAACGCGTGTATTGTAAACGCGTGTACTGTAAACGCGTGTACTGTAAACGCGTGTACTGTACATATAGGCTACCAGAAAAGCCCTATTCCTTCAAAGGAATTGGTTTGTAGCAAACATTACTAAGCCCGATTTCCCTGGTTTAAGACTGCGAGCAAAGTACAACAGCCACCGGAGCGGGGGACGCTACGGGACTTTGCGCGGGCGAAGTCCGCCGCTGGTCCCGAGGACATAGCTCCTCCAACGCGGTGACTTTTTCGCCGTGAATTTTATGAAATTTATTTCCTAAAGTCAGTGCCACTTGCACAGAATATGTTGGTCTTGACTATTTCAGTAGTCTGGCGTCTGTTTTATCGAGTATTAAAAGGAGATGCCTTGGTTTTAGCCTGGTAATCATGCCACGGGAGCTCCCTGGCATCTCAACGGCGCTGGGAGTGTTACCCGCCCGCCCGGCACATTAACGCACGTCGGGGCATTTTTACGGGGTCGGTTTCGATAATTTTAGCACGGCATTGAGCAGAAAGGCCGACTAGAAAGATAGGCTGCCAGGAAAAGACATATTCTTTTGTAAACGCGTGTACTGTAAACGCGTGTGCTGTAAACGCGTGTGCCGTAAACGCGTGTATTGTAAACGCGTGTACTGTAAACGCGTGTACTGTAAACGCGTGTACTGTAAACGCGTGTACTGTACATATAGGCTACCAGAAAAGCCCTATTCCTTCAAAGGAATTGGTTTTGTAGCAAACATTACTAAGCCCGATTTCCCTGGTTTAAGACTGCGAGCAAAGTACAACAGCCACCGGAGCGGGGGACGCTACGGGACTTTGCGCGGGCGAAGTCCGCCGCTGGTCCCGAGGACATAGCTCCTCCAACGCGGTGACTTTTTCGCCGTGAATTTTATGAAATTTATTTCCTAAAGTCAGTGCCACTTGCACAGAATATGTTGGTCTTGACTATTTCAGTAGTCTGGCGTCTGTTTTATCGAGTATTAAAAGGAGATGCCTTGGTTTTAGCCTGGTAATCATGCCACGGGAGCTCCCTGGCATCTCAACGGCGCTGGGAGTGTTACCCGCCCGCCCGGCACATTAACGCACGTCGGGGCATTGAGCAGAAAGGCCGACTAGAAAGATAGGCTGCCAGGAAAAGACATATTCTTACAGCAATTGCCGGTGAAACACATTTAATTCGGACCCGTAAAAAAAGTTACCAAGGCTAGGTCAACTCAACACCGACTGACCGAGGCTCGCCTCGTCTCCTTGGATTTTTAGCAGTTTAACTGACTCCAGACAAAGATACCTTGGATATTTAGAAAGATTAAAGAGTCTTCAGAACTTAAATCAATTCATAAAAGTTACCTGTATTGTATATTTTCACCACTTTGCTCCAACAAACATCACGGTACGGTCCAGAAAACAATTCAATGGCTGCCATACGTGCAGTCGATTATCAGACTGTATCGCATATTTTTCGCCACGTGTCAAAAATGCCGCCTGGCGGATTACAACGGTACTTGTCAGTGGTAAAATTGCCAATACGAATTTACATTGTTTATTTAAGAGCGACCCCTAGCAGCTAATGATATTAGTGCTTCAAATGGCAAAGCGTGCCAAAGAACTTGAGCCAATCAGAAGAGACATTACAAAACAACCCTTGGTTAAAAATCTATTGGACATGCCTATTGGTCTGTCAATCAGCAGCCAATACATACAGTGCACTGATTAGTCAATTTGTTTGATCATCGGGTAATTACCGTATAGTTCTTTCCCGCACGTGCGCCGAACAACATACTTGTCCAACACCGCTGGAACAAAGTAGTCCCTGCAAACTATCGCAATTTCGTGATAAAACAGCTTAATATTTATTCTAAATATTATTTTGCCATAAAATAATATTTTTGAAATGTTAATTTTCAATAGATCATCGAGCATTAACCATGATTATATATTTTACGTTTACCGGGTTGCCCAAGAGGCCTTGGCGGGCGTGCACCACTCTCATCACCAAAGAAATTCCGGCAAGCTAACGATCGGCTTGCCCGGTGTGTGTTGAAGACGGCCGCTCTGAGTCGGTTGAACCATTGCTAGTTGAACCCACTTGAACGTCAAAACACGAAAATTCGGCATAGAAGCCAAGGAGAGGGGCACACATCAGTGTTTTATAAGTCCACAACTTACGGGACGCTGTTTGTGGCTAAAGTCCGCCAGGACAGAGGGAGGCAACCCTGGAAGTGCGAGTCAGTACCAGGGCCAGGCCCGGGGGCTAGGCCGGTTCGTACTCGGCCTGCTAGCAGCAATCTGACCGGCCAACGTGTTATACGGCGCGGCGTGTCTGAGACCGTTGGACTGTTGGCGCGGCCTTGAAGCCTAGGAGAGGGGGACACCTCAGTGTTTTATTAGTCCACAAGTTACTGGGCGATGTCTGTGGCTTAATTCGCTAGAAAATAGAGAAG